TTCCCCTTCACAACTATGTTTTTATTACTATTTTATCATTTTGGGGATTCTTTGTTCCTTTATTGAGCACATAATATATATATGACCTATTACTCTTAGTTGATTCTAACTTTCATTAATTAAATTGAATTAGGACTTAAGTTTTATTGATAAACTCATTTCTTCTTTCTCTTTTTTTTAATTACTCAAATTAATTCATAGCAATAAAACAGAATTTTAAAAATCATGAAAACTGTATTAAAATATTAAATTTTGACATTTTTATATTTAAGTAAACTAAATGTGAATTGATGATTTTTTTTTCTGATCCTTCATAATTTTATTGTAATTATTACATATATAAGTATAATATATATTCACAAGCTTTTTTCTTGCGCTTTCCTATGCCAGATTAATTTTTAATGTTTTTTAAGAGTATTAACTAAGTGTGGAATATAAAAAATCAGAGAAAAATATAAAAATACCATATTTAAAAACATTTAATAATAAAAAATAATTCAATTTCAATTGTCAGTCTAAAAACATACCGTTGAAAGGGCTAGACGCTCATTTTTTATTTCATTATCTCAATACGTATTTCTTATTTTTTTTAAAATTAATTAATAATTTTAGTCAGAGCCATATTAATGAATTTTACACCGTATATTAATCGAAAATTAAACGTGCCTGGCAGATATTTAATGGACATTTTAACGACTACGTTGCCCCTTGGAACATTGATATTTAATTAAATTGATTTAATTATTTAGCGGTAGATCTATGAAGGGGAGGGTGATTCCGTTAGAAGAAGAAGGATTGCCTTTTATGGAAAGGTCATATACCTCCCCAAGGGCACATCCTAAATATACACACCTTCTATCAAGGATCAATTGTTAACACTCAGTCTCTGTAGCTTTTTTCTTTCCAAGAAAAAAAAAATTCCTTGTAGAAGTTTTCTTCGCTTTCACAAAAAAAAAAATAATAATTCAATGGAACAACTGTATTTTAATTTTTAGTAGATTTAGTCCTTTAGATATGAAGGCAAACTACGGTTATCTATCTTATTTACAAGACGATAAGTGCCATCGTGCCATTATTTTAATAATTATTCTCTCACAGAAACATCTATTTTTTTTTTAAATACGAAATATTTAAATTTATAAATTTTAGAGAATGTATCATCATTGATTTTAAAAACATTATTATTTAAATATTATTTATTAAAATAATTTGCAAAATAATATTTCTTCAATAGAGATTACTTGCTTTCTTTAAAAAAAAAATCATATTTTTTGCAGAGATGCGTGTATAGTTGAAATTATAAGGATGAAAAATGGGTATGATATGCAGTTAAAGAAGATTTGTATTGAGTTTGTCGACGTTTCTATACATATATATATATATATATATATATATATATATATATATATATATATATATATATAAACGTTATCTCATTTGTACCTTCCACTATTTCCGTTTCTCATACTTTAATATTTATCATTTTTCTGATGTTATTTTGTAGTTTATTAATTTTTAGCCCTGATGATGACTCACATGTTTGGGTCATAACGTCGACAAACTCAATAAACAAATCTCTAAATAAACGTTTTGAATTGAATTTAATAAATATTAAATTTCAGAGTAAACTAGTTATAGTTTAATTTTATTTCGGGTAAAATATGTTATCTTGGAACATATTTATTCTAGACAGACTGTAAGACCGGATTCATTCCACAACTTAGCTTCAAACCCAGACTTAGTGTTGGATTAAAAATATTATGATTTACTTTTTTCGATTTATTTTTCGTCAAACCTCAATTGCATGAAGTACCTGAAAAAAAAAAAAGTTATTATTCTTAATTTTATTTTTTGCAATATCTGTATAATTTTTGTTTACTTTAAGCTAACGAGTATAAGAAAGACAGGCACGAAAAAAATAATTGAACACTCTGAAATTGTAGTGTTATATTTCAAAAACGAAAGGCATGGAACAGACTACCCCGACTATCGACAAGGGCATTGTTTGTCTCTGAGTCACCCCCGTGACTCAAGATAAGCTTCCGAATTGAAAACTTCTTATTTAAATTGCATTTGCTTATCCAGCCATTGTGGATTCATTGTAAAAAAAAAATCGAAATGTACAATTTGAATAATTGAGTAAAGCTCTTTGCTACCATACTCGATTTCGTAAGCAGTCCTGTTAGTACCTTTCCTCCGGTTCTGCGGCAGACTGCTTGCTGCCTCAGATAGCCTTCCTCGCCCCAAGGGTACCCACGACGAAGGAAAAACGTCCCGTATTCCCTGAGGCATAAATAAGGATAGCCAGGCTGCTAGGCCGTCGGCATGCAGATAAGTACCCATTCCTTTCCGCGCTGCTGCCTCCTGGAATGGTCCACTTCTTCCGACCGCAAGGTCTACTCCTGATGGTCCTAGAACTCCCAATTATACCGAGCTGTAGTTTCTTAAAAAGTAAATTCTGAAAGAAAGTATTTTACTGAATATTTTAAATACCAGACTTGGGTAGTATTTCAATTGAAATACTTTTAAATACAGTTATATTATTTAGCATTTTTAGAAGAAAAATATATCGTTTATAATTGTATTTTCTTTCCAAAATACTGAAAAACAATGAAAGTATTTATTTTCTTAAAGAGGATTGACCCAACGACCCTTTTAAGGCCAGTATATTAAAAGATCTTAAATCCACAACAAACATCATGCAACACCAAAATAATAGTATATTTATTCAAAAATCATTTTTTAAAAATGTACATGGTAAAATAAGTTTTTTGCTGTTTTTAGAAAGAAAAAAATTGCAACCAATAAAAAATCCTGACAGACAAAAAAAATTTCTTTTGTCTAGATATTGACAAGTAATTGTTTCGATAATTTTTAGATAGGTGGTATAAAACAGAGGTAACAGAAATGTTTGTAGGTGTCCAAGAGACCAAAACATTGCAAAATAAATATACGTATGTTGACGAAACTAAATAAAAGCTTTTTTTAATTTTTGTGTTATGTTTTTTGGGATATAAATGGGTTCAAAAAATGTGTTAATCAGTATTAATTAACTAATGATAAGTTACAAAAAATGCATTTTGTTTTAAAAACCCAAAATAAATAATCGAATCAAATAGGTTTTCTTTAAATTATTGTAGCAAGACTAATCGTTTGCATGTAAATTCTCTCCCATTAAAATTGAACTTTGACATTTTTAATGTGGAAGTGTTAAATTATCTGTGGCCTACGATTGCACAGGAATCCAGAGTTTTATAATAAGAAACGGTTGGAGAGTATATTTTTTTTAATAAATAAGTAAAGGTGGACAGGCAGATAGATTAGTTGTGAAAACAACCTGCCTTTTCTTTTCTTTATTAGGTAATGTTTGTGTGTACTTTATACTAAAGAATAAGCAAGGATTCAATCTATGCAATATCTTAGAGAATAATGAAAATGAACTTTCATTATGAATTGTTCAGAAATAATATTAATTGAATAAAGTAATTTATTTCTAATATTTTAAAGTATATTTACCTTCTAATCTCATCCCATAACTCTTTTTCTTGCAAAAATAAACCTATTTTGTTAGGAATTAGTTGTGAACCACAATTTCATGGGAAGTAGTTTGTATTTGAAATATTTTTTCTAAAAACAATGGAAATAATTTGTAATTAAAATATATTATATTTTAAAAAATACTTGGTATTTTAATTACTACATTTTGGTATAATTACAATACTTTTTGCCCAAACCTGGTGACTTAAATAACTTCTTGATGTATCATCACTATCAGATGACACCACATTAATACTCTGTCTGACATTATCTAGTAATTAACACTTAATTGCAATTTACAACTGCTCATGTAAAATACAGCAGATAAACACTGCATGTGTGCATAGCACATAAATAAGATGGTGAAACTACTCCATAACCATTGACTATTCTATGAAAGGTCACTAGGTCTTGGGAAAAGGCTATTTGAATCGTAATTTGTTAAAAGGGCATTTTGCCACATTCTTATAAAAATAATTTATATTGATGCTGAATTTATTTATCATAAAAGTCATTTATTAATGTTAATATGATTCAATCAGTTTAGTATAATATTTGAAACTATAAAGTATTGTTTTTGAAAAATAAAAATAAATTCTTGAGTTAATTGAATTCACCACAATAGCTGATCCATGATTAAATTTCGGAGAAGGGTCTATTATTTTTTCTATCTAACCCGCCAGTTAATCATTATAATGTCATTGGGTGGATATTCTTTTGATAAGTGATGTTTTTAACAACAAAAAATATTTTTTTTAAAAATTCAACTGCCTTAAAATATCATAAATTTTATACTCGTTTGCCTAATATATTTGGAGCATGAATTTCATAATCATAAGTTAAAGGGAGGTGGAAGAGGAAATCTTAGAAATGATTGTTATTACTTCCATTTAAAAATATACCAAATGATATGTAATATGTATATATTGATAAATATAATTTCTTTCTATGAGATTATGTTTAACAAAATCAGGGTAAAAAAGGGATTCATCTTGTTTACCAAGTTAAACTTAATCATGTGCTTTATGGTTTAAATCAAGACTACAAATTTTTTATACTGAACTCAATATTTTTATTATTTATAGGTTTATATATTTCTTCTTTTAATATCTTCATTCAAATCTATATCCTGGATATGACAATTCACCTAATGGATTTCTGAATTTTGGTTTTAACATTTTAGGCATGAGTATAGATATTTAAAACACTTCAGTTTTTTATAAAACTGGTGGAAAGTTATAAACTGTATTGTTCTTGGTTTTACAATAAGTACAAAAAATGTAAGAAAAATATTCCTCTTGTTATTGATCCACAAGATGAAATAATCATTTTAGTGAAGGTATCATTTTACTGTTAGTTGTAATATTTGTGTTTATTGTTTTTTATAGCTTTATAGCTGACAATGGATTACTAACAACCTCCTTTTTTTTCAGTTGATTTTCAGTGGTGAATACACAAAGGCGATGTCAAAGGACTGGCACTCCGGACACTTCTGCTGCTGGCAATGCGACGAGTCACTGACAGGACAACGATATGTCTTACGAGACGACCACCCTTACTGCATCAAGTGCTACGAGCAAGTATTCGCAAACACATGTGATGAGTGCTCTAAAGTTATCGGCATTGATTCAAAGGTAATATTTTTAATAAGCAATTTTAAAACATAACTAATTATAGATAAAAGTATTAAGTTAAGATTAACTCCTTCTACTTGCCCTTGTTCTACTTGTACTCCTTCTACTATGTAATTGACTGTACATACTAACATACAAGGGTGTCACCAAATGCTGCAATAGATATAAAAGTATCTGGATGTGTGATTATTTTCATTAGCTTATTAAAAACTTTGTTGTCTATATCGAAAAGATGCCTTTTTAACTGTAATTGTCATATTCTGAAATTCATTATTTCATGCCATCCAATACATTGTTTGTCGATACTAATTTGTTATATTTTCATTCTCTTAGTCTGATTAAATTTGTTGGCGGAGAAATCAAATTATTACTTGTAGTTAACGGTATTGCTCACCTGTGGATATATATAGCATTGCTTACTTTTTCATTAAATTATATTGCTTTAACTTTTAGATTCTATTCTTACAAGTATTATCTGCAAACCCATCGGTCAGTAGTGGAAAAATTGGCCAATAACACCCTCATAAAGTCATATCTTTAATAGAGGCAAGTGCATTTTTCTTTCCAAGGAATATATAAATGAGTGCAGATGAATTAAAATATTGAGGAAGATTGGAATAGGATAGTGGGAAACAGTGCATAAATAACACCCTCATCGTGGGGTTGGGTGTCTTGATCCAAGGGACTCAAGAGAAATAAAGGAAATGAAAGAACATGATTCAAAAGGGTGATTTGAACTAGGTGGGTGATTTAGTTTGTACATAAATGATCATGTTATGATAAGAAATCATAGTAATTTGAAAATCAGTTTATTTGTTAAATACTTATCTGAACTCATCATAGGCATTCTTGTGTATAGGTAACATTAATAGTAAGCTGATATAGAAAAAGTGCATGAGTAAGGGATAGGAGTGACCAATAGCTGAAATGTAAGGGCATGTTGAATTGTAATGTGGTGGGAAGGGAATCATTCCAAACTATTTACACTACTTGTAATGTAGTTTATGTATGATGAAATTTTGAAAATATGAATGTCGACGTTATTATTTAGGTATAATATGAAAATATCATAAGATGGAGTGTAATTGATTAATAATATTACATATATTATCTTTGTGATGCCTCAAAAAGAGACATAAATTCAGTGTTGGGTATTAATGAAAAAATCCAACATACAACCTTATTTCTTTTAAATGCAACTATCTGCCATTGTCTTGGGGACATCGTTATCATGATTTTCATATATATGTCATAAAGAAAACTCTGTATCTATTATTATAGGCATTAATATATAATTCATATTAATATGTTACATGATGTTTCCAAATCATTGAAGTAATATCTAACAAATTTGTGAGAATGCAATTATGCCGATATGGCACTTTTTAATTTAAATAAAATTAATAAATGAACCTTCAAGAAATCCTGTATTATTTTCCTAAAACTTGACATTAACCTTGAAAATATATAAATGTAGAAATTGGTAGCTGGCCAAATATAAAGACAGACTAAAATCTTCAAATAAATAACACTTTTTGGCACGTATATTTAGATCACAATTAAATTTCTTGTTCTTAAGTTTTTTTTTTAAGAATTGAGCTAACGGAGATTTAAGCTATTTATTTGTATTCTTAAAATTATCTCTGAAGATATTTTTTTATAATAAAATTTTTGTGTATTAAATTTTTTTTTCCTCTAGAAATTAAACATTCTGTAATAAAATAATGAATCTACAAATCAAACTAGCCATTTTAGCTTTGTGTTAATTTAAAAAAAAAATATAGATCAAAATCAGAATTAATAGGATTAAATTTATATTCTGTCGGTCATCACTAGATGTATTTGTTATGCTGCCATTAAGTTTCAATGTTTTCATTCATGTTTGTTAAGTTTCTGTTAACCTCAAATTTGTATGTCATATATTTATGGGGTACTCCTTATTTGGTCAATATTACAATGTGAAATTGTTTCATTTCTTAAATAAATAGCTTTTAATTCTTTTAACAATTTGATATCGTCAGGTGTGCCTCCCAGAGTCCGATGGCTTTTTGTGATAATATTCACTAAGCCCTGAACTATATTCTTTAGTCATTATTCTATGCTGATCACAAATATTATTTTCCTAAACATGTGTATTTACTTATCTTACTAAAATATTTTCACATAATTCCTTTGAACTCATAAATTTTCATGGCTTGAATAATTGACAAGGCTTTTAGGCTGGTGATCTTTAATTAGTTAAAACAAATATATTGATTTATTGTATATTTGTAAAATATGTCATGATGATAATTACAATTATTACATTGCTTTAGGATCTGTCGTACAAGGATAAGCACTGGCATGAAGCTTGTTTCTTATGCTCCAAGTGTCGAGTTTCTTTAGTAGACAAGCAGTTTGGAAGCAAGGCTGACAAGATTTACTGTGGTAATTGTTACGATGCTCAATTTGCTTCTCGCTGTGATGGATGTGGCCAGATCTTCAGAGCAGGTGAGTTAATTTTAATTTTATTCTAAGCTCAGATTTTAATTTAAAAATACAAATAATGAAACTATTCCCATTGTTCATCTTAAAATATTCCATCTTCAAAATATTTTTAATTACCTTCTAAAAAAAAAAGTTTTTTTGGTCTACATTGTGTAAGGAGGTAATTTGGCCGAGAACACACTCAACTGGCAGGCTTCTCCCCTTAATTAATTATTTGATTAATAGTGCAAATTTTATAGAGATCAGTAATGCCTCAGGAGGGTCTCTTCAAGCCATGGTCACTCCATGGCTGGTTTAACAGAATAAAATATTAGCTGTTACAGCCAAAATCGAACCTGGGACCCAGAGCATAACAATACAGTGCCTTACTAACAGAGCTAACCCATTCCCTAAATCTTTTTAAGGATTTAATCAGTGAACTAAGAACTATAGGAATCAAAGTTTTACTTACCCATGCGTCTTCCTCGGCTTAAAATTTCTTTAACATGGTTTTCATAAAATTGGAAATGCTGCCTGACTTATTTAAAAAAATATAAATAAAGGAGTAAATATGTAATATTGTAGTGAATAAATATCAGATGACTGTAAATAGTTAATAATATTAATAAAAAAGATAATAAAGAGGATTACTGATGGTTTAATAATGTTAATAAAAAAGATAATAAAGAGGATTACTGATGGTTTGGAGAAATAAAATTCAAAACTAAAGAAAAAAAAAATTTATTATAGTAAATTAAATATAGGACATGTTATCAAAGTAATTATATTTTAAAAATTAAATTACTTATTTTTAATTCAATGATTTATTTATTTGAAATTGAACCTTTTATACCATACAGCAGACATAGCTTACGTATTTAATTACATTAATGATACCATAATGGATATGATTATTATGGAAGTTATCACTTTATCAAACAACACATTGTTTTCATATTTGCATACCAAACTTTCTATTTATGCTGTTTTTCTGTTACTTTCTTCCAAAACATTTCAAAATAACAATTGTTAAAAAGTATTATAAACAATAAATAACTGCATTACTAATTTTTAAAGAGATTTTGTCGAGGAGAAGGCTGATGTCTATAAGGAATTGTGAAAGTTATTTTTTATTGTGTTCAAAATTGCGGCCAAGTGGTAGGGCTTCACCAGGATTCCACTCATCACTTTCCTTTTGAGATCTTCAGAAAACCCTAATGGGGACCTAAAAATTAGATTGAGAAGTTGGTTTATGATAAAATATAAGTATCACTTATTCTCCCCAAGCATGCTCTACTAAAATTATATCTGGTCGACTACATTCACACCTTTTTTTCCTGGACTCGGGGAGAGAGTGGGGGAATCATGCCAAGAAGTCCCACCGGGCATTGAGATTTAAAGTCGTATTTATTTTCCATCTCCAACTTCGTTTATCAGGTTGCCAGGTAAGGCGCGGTGCTGTATAATCATATTTGTCTCTTGGTCACCCCGACCCCAACTACATTGAAACCTATTTATTTATTTAAATCTCTGCCCTGCCAGTTTGGCAATATGAGTGTTTGCAGTATTGGATAGCTAGACGTGTGTGCATAACTAGCCAATACTGCAATCGATACAATAAGATTTTCTGTTTAGCTTGGCTCTTCCATCCTCTGTGGTGGAGCTTCTTCTCTTCTACCCAAATAGAAGTGGGCTGGGCCAATGATGTCTTTCCACCCGTACACAAAGGCCTTGTAGTGCGGGTAGTTCTCTCTGGTCACTAGCTGAGGTAGATCGCGCTCTGATAAGACATAGAGCCCAGTCTCCCTCAGCAACTTAGCCCTCAATGCCTCATAGGCGGTACAGGCTAATAAGACGTGCTCGGCGGTCTCCGGTACCCTACAACTTGGGCATAGGGGATCAATGTTCTTACCATGTTGAACAAGCTTTGCTAGGAATCCCCCATGCCCCGTGAGGAATTGCGAGACCCAATAGTCCGGGAGGAGCCATGTAGTTTCCATTCTTGAACCGACGGTGGGGAAGTATTTCCTTAGGGTTGATCCTTTTGGCGTTGTCACCCAACGCCGGTTCCATTCTTCTAATGTGCATTCCCGGAGAATCCTCTTCCATCTGCTTGGGTCTTCACTGATCCTCACTCGGAGATTAGCCGGTAGATCCACCAAGCCATCTCTCTTCATTTCGTGTCGAAAGTAGTCTTCACGAAGTTGAAGATCAATTGGAATACTTCCGGCTAAGACTTGTACCGCCTCATGAGATACTGACCGGTACGCCCTAGTGACACGCAGCAGAGCCATACGCTGGATCGTCGCCAACCTTTTCTTCTGTTGGTGCGAGAGAGTCTGACTCCACGCAGGGGACGCATATCTCAGGATACCCAAGATAACTCCGTTATAAATAGCCAAAGTGGCTGGGTATCTGAGACCCCAAAAGGCGCCCCCGATGCGACTCAGTCCATTAAGAGCCAGGGCCACTCTACTTCTCAGATAGTCCAAGTGAGGGGTGAAGTTAAACTTTCTTCCAGTCCTTATCCCAAGATAGGTGACCGCCTCACTTGGACGTATCGTTTCTCTCTGTATATTCAGAGTGATAGGGTGGGCCCTGTCAGTCTTACCCCTCAAAAGAACGGACTGAGTCTTTGAAGCCGCCATCTTCATCTTCTTTCTCTCGCACCATTCTCCTACAAGGTTGGTGCACCGTTCAGCCTCTTCCTTTAATCTGGCTCTGCTGTTCGATGCCACCACGACTGCGAGATCGTCTACGTAAGCAGTGGCGGGGAACCGCTGCTCTTCCAGTACTCCCAGCAGCTCGTCAAATACCAGTTTCCACAAGGCTGGACCTAGTACAGATCCTTGTGGGCATCCTCTTTCTACAGAATCCTCTACAGCAAAGAAGTTACCTTTTATCATTAATTTGCGGTCTTCTAGATAGCTTCTTAAGAGGTCGTACAGGTTGCTGGGAGCTTCATACTTTTGCAACTGCTGGAGTACACTTGGCCACCAAACGCTATCGAAGGCGGAGGATATATCAAACAGGAGAAGCATTACATACTTCTCCGCCTTCTCTTCAACGTCACGGCGCACCCTGAGCAGAGCATCTGCGGTTCCCCTACCTTTAGTACATCCGTACTGTCGTGGATGGCTAGCCCTTAAGAAGACTGTTCGTAGACTCCTCATCAGTAAGGTCTCCAACAATTTACTCATTATAGGAAGGAGACATATAGGCCTATATGACTTCGCTAACTGCTTGTCCTTATCTCCTCCCTTATAAAGGAGTCTAACATCAGCAATCTTCCATATTTTAGGGAAGTAACCCCTGTCTAGGCAATCATTGAACAATGCTAACAGCCTTTGTTCAATGTAGGGGATACTATTCCTTAGTATTGCTGTGTCTATCGAATCCAAGCCAGGAGCTCGACCAGTCCTTTGCCTATCCTATTCATGTTCTAATCAAATGGAAGAAGACAAACTATTTTGGTACATAAGTTACTTTTCAAGCCTTCACAGGCTTAGAAAAGTAATGTGTTGTTTCTAGAGTTAAAATTAAATACTGCGGATCAGGGGTTAATAACCTCGGGGTCTTACACTTTAAAGCTCTAAAAAATAAACAATAAATATTGTGACTCAAGCCAGTCAAATATGAACTTGAACTTCAATCTTGATGTAGTTAAATATTTGATCAAGATATTATTTATTGGCAACTACCGGGGTTGGAAAATTGGAATCAATTGACACTAGTTTGAGCTTAGAAGGTGATTTAATTAATTTGAATTAGGATTTATAAACCTAATTTGACATCTCTTTCTCTGCTATTAGTAATTAAGAGTAATTTAAAATTAATTCATGATAATGAAATAGAACCAAAAAAACAAAATTATGTTCTTCTTCTCCCTTTCGTGCCTCTCAGCGAAAGGGGGTGAGCAGCCACGAACTCCACTCTTCCCTGTTCTTTGCTAGGTTCCTGGCTCAACGAAGATCTTTTCCTCTTCCTTTGCAGAGTCTATCAATATACTCCAGATATGACATTCTTGGGCATCCTTTGCCATCTGGAGCATACTCCATCTTCTTCAATGGGTCCTTATCTCCTCCATCCTAATCACACAGCCAAACTATTTCAATTGGCTGATTTTTCGAATCTCCTTTAATGAGGCGATCCCCAGTTCCTTGCGTACACTTTCGTTACGAACCTGGTCCCGCCCGACTGTTCTTCGGGACAGGCAGTGACTCTGCTTTCTTGCCTCTCTTAGTGTTTTTTTTTTGCTTTCTCTCTGTCAATATCCAGCTTTCAGCTCCATATAGAAGTATTGGCAGGTATACAGTTGCTTTATCAGATACCAAAATTTATGAAACTTCTGCCTCACTGCGTTTGAGATATTTTTCAGTGAAGCTTTATAGACAATTTGGGTTTTATTTTTCATCAGATAGTTTGTTGAGGAAAAATGTTCTGATTAGAAATTTAAAAGATAATAGAAAAAAATACTCAGGAAAAAGATCATTCTATGGAATAGTCTTATCATGGAATTGAAAAACTTAGTTTTCTGATCATATGTAGGTATTCCTAATTCAGATTTTATTTGGAATGTTCGCTTTCTTTATACATTTATACTCTGTATTTATGTGTATACTTCTTCAAAAATATAATTTGTTTGGGTGGTTATTTAAAATAATGTTATCTGTTTTATACTGAAAAAGTAATGTACCCTGTTTCTCTCTTCAAATAGCAACATACAAATGCTTTGGGTCCAATTATGTGACATTTACTTAATCATTTACAATGATAAGATCTTTTTTTTAATTTAATTTTTTTTAAAATAATATGAATAAAAGTTAATGGATATCAATTTCTTAAGCAATTAAAACTTTCTTATTTCAAGATAGTATTTATTATTTACCTCCGTGTATTTAAGTATGGTGAAACACTGTTATATTAATTAGAAGATATAATCTGACAGCATAGATACCAAGTTAAAATAATCTAAGTGTGCCTGTATCATTATTTCACTCACTATATTATTCATGATCCTTGTA